TCGGCCCACATTTAGCTCTCACTTCCATTGTTGGCGACTGGTCCCAATGTTTGGTGATAATCACCCTAATTATCTCCCTTTCCCTGATCAGCTCAGCTGACCTTGTAAGTCTGTGTAGTGTTTACCGTGGCAACATCGGACCGGTATTAATTGATGTCAGACGTGTATCATTCCAATCAGTAACACAGAGCCCCAAAAGCAAATTAATGCTTCGATTTCTACCCATTGATCTGCTGCTACCGTTTTCTCTGTCAATGGTCTTGCTGAAACCTGTGTCCAGAGGCTACAGGTATCAGCTAGGGAACTGTGGTGTTTCATTTATGAACAGTTAACATGGTTAGCCTTCTCTGATCTATACCTTCCAGCTTTATACAAGTACATATTGCATCAACAATGTATAATGCCACTGCTGGATTATGGCATGTTGTCCCACAAGAGTTTCATTAGGAACTACTGAATCCGGCCCAGCGTGATGCTGGTTCTGTCTGATTCATTGATCACGCAGCCGTCTGTACTGGGGGATCAAGGTGTGGGATAGCAGTAAATATGCAGTTGATCAGTCATGGCCCATCCCAAAGTGACCTAAGCTGGTGCTACCTTTCCCACTAAACATTGCCTCAGTGCTGCCATGGTGAATCAGTGCTATTGTATTCTTACATACCTGATGACCAAGATCTGAGATTCCTCCAAAATATAAGTGAGTCTTCACTTACATTGAAGTTACAAGCAATATGCCTCCCCCATCCCTGTGATTGTGATACTTTGCTTGGCATGGAAAGATAGAAAGTCTCTTAATCCACAAGCATGATGTCCGGTGACATCACAATGACTGCGAGACAACAAAGTACCTGAAGCTTTTTTGTATCTATCTGTCTATCTATCTGTCTGTCTGTCTGTCTGTCTGTCTGTCTGTCTGTCTGTCTGTCTGTCTGTCTGTCTGTCTGTCTGTCTGTCTGTCTGTCTGTCTGTATGTCTGTCTATCTATATAGAAACTGCCTTGTGTGTATAGGTGAGGTGAGGTGAGGTGAAATTGGGTTTAAAGTCGTGCTTGAGAATATTTCACTCATATGACGACGTGCATACGTGTGTATGTGTATGTGCGAATGCTTGTACTAGCCCAGACTGAAGCTGGTTTTATAGAGCTAGCCCACTGAGATACCATGCCGCAGTGAAGCATGAATACCCCACTCAGACACATTATACTGACTCCGAGCCGACCAGTCCTTGTTGTACCCATTTATGCAGAGCGCCAGGCAGGGACCAACAAGTACCATATTTTTACGTCTTTTGGTATGTCGCAGTCTGGGATCGAACCCTCGACCTTCCGCTCTCCGGGCAGACGCTCTAACCACTACACCACGGAGGCGGTCCTTGTGTGTATAGAGAACTAGTGATATTCTGATCTCTTATAATGTCATCTGTATCTCTATATACTACTCACAAGTTGAGTAGCAGCAGATTACTACAGATAAACAAGTGATTCTTTTATGTCACTATATATGAAAGGATCAGGCGGTCCATGACTTCTATTGAGTGTTGTGTAGAGAGCAGTGAGAGTTCAGGAGGACCCATGATTGTCGATGGTGTTCCACCTATGAAGGGGTGGGGAGGTAGCTGGGTGGTTAAAGGTCTTGTCTTCTCACCGAAGGTCCTGATTCTGTTCTTATACATGGGTTCAGAGAGTGAAGCTAATTTCTGTAGTGCCCCTACTGTGATAATGCTGGAATATTGTTAGAAACAGTGTGGAACCATTCACTCTTGGTTCACCAAAATCATTGATATCTGAGGTATGAAGAAATACCAAAGGCACCCAAAGGCTGGAGGATCTACACATGACTTGAACGTACAAAATGAGATTTCCTATCTGCACACCTTTTTAACTATTAGTCAGGACTTGAATGTCAAGAAAACAATGTACAATAATTTATGCTAATTTGAAATTAAGTAGGTCTGTGAATTAGCCCTTGATGGCTACGTGAAAGCTGACATGCCATGATATGATTGAATTACCATTCAAGGTGGTATTAACCCAATTCTCTCACAGTAAAGGATTAGCATTTTTACCTTTTATGTGCCAGGTTTGCATAAAGGATAAAGTATGCTTTTTATCAGTGTACTCAGAGGAGTGTGGACTTATTCAAGTGTTTCTACCGAAACTAAAGTGTTTGCCACTAAAAAACGGGCAGATATTTTTCGAAACATTGTGCACATGACTGATGTAAGAAGTTCAGGTATATGTCCAGTCCATAACTTGATTCCCATTTTCTGTTGTTTGGGTTGATGCAGAACCAGGCAATGTATAAACAATTAAACATATACCCTGCATCTTTGATTCAACTTTTGTTTGGATAAAAGTTTAAGTATCTCAAAATTACAGGTATTTCATTTTTAATTATCACAAATTCACAAATGTTATCACAAATCCTAGATGTTCAAATATATTCAAACCTGCATGTCTATATTTTTAGATGTTTAGTAATCAGATTTGTGCTGCCATGTCCACGTGGCATGCACTTTATTTGAAGAAGACATTCTGATTGAGCATGAGCTGAAGACATGATGTAGACCCAGGCTAGCACTCTATGGGTTTGCCTGTACATTTTGGTATGTTGCTAAGGAGTAATGAAGTCCTGTGTAAATAAATCATCAAATTACGTTCTTGTTTGTGTCTGATGTGTAAGTTGAGGAAGACCTGTGCGTGGTTGCTGTCCTCGGCCAAGCACGCCGACTGTATCGGCAGTATTCAAAGGCGGAGGAGGATAGATCAATTGCATATCAATTGATGCTTTTGTTGGGATTTCCCTGATCAGTTTTGCAATCTCCAAGTTGGCCTTTGATGTTGACCTCAACTGTGAGAACCATCTTGGCAGAATGATTTATAATACTTCCTATCACATGTCCTGAGAAAGAAGGGGGTTAAGAGCTAATTTGGCGATACTTAGACCTGAAGTTATCTGCCTGATTAAGGCAGGCAGGGATGTGCTCACTGATTGCTATAGGGTTTTGGAATTCCATTTTGGATTGCAGACGTGTATATTTTGGAATAGCCATGTTCAAAGCAACCTTTACTTTTGCATATAACATTATAGCCCTGTTTAGAGTACATGACATCATCACACTGTTGATGATGTTCATGATATGGGCAGTTGACGGTTTAAGCCTCATGTCCACAGGCTGATATCAGTCAAATTAATTGTGTTCAAGTAAACAGAGCTAGGAATAGTGCACATATGCATGTCTCTTTATCTTCTGGTGGTTGTGGCATGTACATTCATCATTTGCCTGAACAAGGTGTAGAAAGACTTAGTGTGAAAGAGGGCGTTGTTTACCGGAAGGGTCTATTGGATATTTGTGTACTGCACAATATGTTGTCTGTCTCACAGTCCACCATATTTTCCCTTCAGCCCTTCCTTCAATGCAAAAACCTAAATGAAACAAGTCTAGATTTCCCTCAGGTTCATTCTGAAGCTCCCAGCTCACTCCGGCTCCTTTTCAATATTTTATTTATGTAATGACAGGTATATTATCTACACAGTGTGTGATATGTATGTGTGAGGTTTTTGATCTGTGGTATTTATTAAGTGTCTTTGATAACATGTTTTATACATCTGTGTACTGCACAATGATGTTACATATTTGTGTGAGGAGTGTTTGATCTCCACAGTACTATATGTCTTTGATAGGAGTGTTTGATCTCCGAAGTGTTATATCCTTGTGACAGGAGTGTTTGATCTCCACAGTGTTATTATATGCCTGTGACAGGAGTGTTTGATCTCCACAGTACTATATGACTTATATAGGAGTGTTTGATCTCCGAAGTGTTATATCCCTGTGACAGGAGTGTTTGATCTCCGAAGTGTTTTATCCCTGTGACAGGAGTGTTTGATCTCCACAGTACTATATGACTTATATAGGAGTGTTTGATCTCCGAAGTGTTATATCCCTGTGACAGGAGTGTTTGATCTCCGAAGTGTTTTATCCCTGTGACAGGAGTGTTTGATCTCCACAGTGTTATATCCCTGTGACAGGAGTGTTTGATCTCCACAGTGTTATATCCCTGTGACAGGAGTGTTTGATCTCCGAAGTGTTTTATCCCTGTGACAGGAGTGTTTGATCTCCACAGTGTAATATCCCTGTGACAGGAGTGTTTGATCTCCACAGTGTTATATCCCTGTGATAGGAGTGTTTGATTTCTACAGTGTTATATCCCTGTGACAGGAGTGTTTGATCTCCACAGTGTAATATCCCTGTGATAGGAGTGTTTGATTTCTACAGTGTTATATCCCTGTGATAGGAGTGTTTGATTTCTACAGTGTTATATCCCTGTGACAGGAGTGTTTGATCTCCACAGTGTTATATCCCTGTGACAGGAGTGTTTGATTTCTACAGTGTTTTATCCCTGTGACAGGAGTGTTTGATCTCCACAGTGTTATATCCCTGTGACAGGAGTGTTTGATTTCTACAGTGTTATATGTCAAGTGAGAAGTGTTTGATCCCCATAGTGTTACAGGTCTGTACGAGTAGTGTTTGATCTTTTTAAGGAGTGTTTGATTTGTACAGTGTGAAATATATCTGTATTATGCACAATGAAGTTTTTGTCTGTGTGAGGTGTGTTTGATGTTCACTATGTGGTTTATATCTATATGAATCAGTATCTTGTCTGAACAGTGGATATAGGTTATGTGAGGAGTATGATAATGTTACAACCACTTTTGTCTGTAAGGAAGGTATATCTTGTTGCAAGAGGTTAAACCTGTGTAACATAGAACACTGATGGCATTGATGGAGGTAGGGAATACTTGTTTCTGTGGTAACAACTAGTTTGGCAAATCAACATGGTGAAATGTGCTGACAACCACAGATATATTGTATGTGTGCTTCACTCACTTTCATGAGGTAGGACTGTAAGCATGCATGCCATTGTATGTGGTGTGACAAAGTCATAAATACAGAAGTTGAAAGTAGACAGCAGCTTGACTAATACTTGTCTTTGTTTCCAGTGAGACCATGCGGCTTGACACAGGCTTGATTGTGGAGGTATGGAACAAAGGAATGTTATGGGACAAACTGATCGGACTCCACTGGCTCCCCCTCACCAAAATACATCACTCCAACCAGGTAAATAACTCACCCCTCACCAAAATACATCACTCCAACCAGGTAAATAAGTCACCCCTCACCACAATACACCACTCCAACCAGGTAAATAACTCACCCCTCACCACAATACATCACTCCAACCAGGTAAATAACTCACCCCTCACCACAATACACCACTCCAACCAGGTGAATAACTCACCCCTCACCACAATACACCACTCCAACCAGGTAAATAACTCACCCCTCACCAAAATACATCACTCCAACCAGGTAAATAACTCACCCCTCACCACAATACACCACTCCAACCAGGTAAATAACTCACCCCTCACCACAATACATCACTCCAACCAGGTAAATAACTCACCCCTCACCACAATACACCACTCCAACCAGGTAAATAACTCACCCCTCACCAAAATACATCACTCCGACCAGGTAAATAACTCACCCCTCACCACAATACATCACTCCAACCAGGTAAATAACTCACCCCTCACCACAATACACCACTCCAACCAGGTAAATAACTCACCCCTCACCAAAATACATCACTCCAACCAGGTAAATAACTCACCCCTCACCACAATACACCACTCCAACCAGGTAAATAACTCACCCCTCACCACAATACATCACTCCAACCAGGTAAATAACTCAACCCTCACCACAATACACCACTCTAACCAGGTAAATAACTCACCCCTCACCAAAATACATCACTCCAACCAGGTAAATAACTCACCCCTCACCACAATACACCACTCCAACCAGGTAAATAACTCACCCCTCACCAAAATACATCACTCCAACCAGGTAAATAACTCACCCCTTCCCGGAGACTTCTTCCTTGGTCTCGTTAAAAGTGCATCCCTAGCTGTACCTAGACATAAGGAGATTTTGTTCCTGGTTTCCCGACCTACTGGTATGTGTCTGACTTGCTGATTCCAGTGTTTGAGGTTCACATACTAACTACAAATACAAAGATTGCAAGTATGATCCCACTGAAATATTTGTAACATTTGTTGTTTAATGTTACATTATTTGTCATATTTCCCAACAGAATCTTTACGTCAATGGTTCTGCATGTATTTAATATCATGCCTGAAATAATTTCCAAGTGCCCTTTAGCTCATGCAAGATTTCATTCTCGAACCAAAACAACAGAACTGAAAACTGAAGCACTGGACATGCATGTGCATGTATTTACTGGAGACTTTAAGGTGAAGACATGGCTTGTGTGGGTTTTTTAACAGATGAGTACTACTTGCCAGCTTGATTGGATTTGAAGCCAGTATTTATTAAAGCCAAGATTATAAAATTTAATCATTGGGCTTATAATGTTAATCAGATTGCAGAACACCTCCTACCCAGAGCTCCGTGGGGCCAGTCTTGTAGCTCTCTCACATTGTACCATCTTACACAGCCCATTCAAGATGCTGCATTTGTTTTTTCTGTTTTTGATAATTTAGATAAACATATGTATTATATGTTTTCTTTCAGTGAGACAGGATCATAAAACATGAAAACTACTGTCATATGTATGTTCACAATTTGTTAACTCTGGCTCACATTACATCATCAAAGCCCAACAGAGCTGGCGATATGTTCACTTTGATGTAATTGTAATTTATGTTATGTACATTACATTCAGTGGCCAAACAAATCTCTAACTTGGGACATGTCAAACCCACTTTGCTGGAATACCCGGGGACTTTCTGTAGAAAGATATTCTGCTGAGAGATGTTGTGTCTATAGTCCCTAAGTGGTTATTCTATGAAAACAAGCTCCTGTGAAACAAGAGGGTGACATCATTAGAGTTAGTGAGTAAGTTTAGTTTTACGCCGCACTCAGCAATATTCCAGGTATATAGCTACTGTCTGTAAATAATCGAGTCTGGACCAGACAATCCAGTGATCAACAGCATGAGCATCGATCTACGCAATTGGGAACCGATGACATGTGTCAACCAAGCAAGTGAGCCTGACCACCCGATCCTGTTAGTTGCCTCTTATGACAAGCATGGGTTACTGAAGATTCATTCTAACCTGGACCTTCAGGGGTCAACATCATTAGAGATAGATAGTGTATGATGTAGATGTAGGTGTGTGTTATATTTATGTATGCATGTGTGCTACATTCTGGTATTGTTTGTGGTGTGCCAGTCAGAATACTGTAAATGTGAACATTGTATATTAAATGTTTGTTTTCTTTGACAGGAGGGGGAGGGAAAGTGGCTGTCCTTGGAGGCAGAGCTTATTATGCAGAACGGGGAAGTGGTTGGCACCCAACACCAAACGGGACACAACGTCCTCATTGACGCTCGCTTTGAACTGCCATATGGTAAGATGTAGAATGAAGGATATGTTTCATGAACTGCCATATTGTAAGATGTAGAATGAAGGATATGTTTCATGAACTGCCATATGGTAAGATGTAGAATGAAGGATATGTTTCATGAACTGCCATATGGTAAGATGTAGAATGAAGGATATGTTTCATGAACTGTCATATGGTAAGATGTAGAATGAAGGATATGTTTCATGAACTGCCATATGGTAAGATGTAGAATGAAGGATATGTTTCATGAACTGCCATATGGTAAGATGTAGAATGAAGGATAGGTTACATATGGTAAGATGTAGAATGAAGGATATGTTTCATGAACTGCCATATGGTAAGATGTAGAATGAAGGATATGTTTCATGAACTGCCATATGGTAAGATGAAGGAATGAAAGGATATGGTAAGTTACATGAAGGAACTTTCATACTGTAAGATGTAGAATGAAGGATATGTTTCATGAACTGCCATATGGTAAGATGTAGAATGAAGGATATGTTTCATGAACTGCCATATGGTAAGATGTAGAATGAAGGATATGTTTCATGAACTGCATATGGTAAGATGTAGAATGAAGGATATGTTTCATGAACTGCCATATGGTAAGATGTAGAATGAAGGATATGTTTCATGAACTGCCATATGGTAAGATGTAGAATGAAGGATATGTTTCATGAACTGCCATATGGTAAGATGTAGAATGAAGGATATGTTTCATGAACTGCCATATGGTAAGATGTAGAATGAAGGATATGTTTCATGAACTGCCATATGGTAAGATGTAGAATGAAGGATAGGTTACATGAACTGCCATATGGTAAGATGTAGAATGAAGGATAGGTTACATTAACTGCCATATGGTAAGATGTAGAATGAAGGATATGTTTCATATGGTAAGATGTAGAATGAAGGATATGGTTTCATCATGAAACTGCCATATGGTAAGATGTAGAATGAAGGATATGTTTCATGAACTGCCATATGGTAAGATGTAGAATGAAGGATATGTTTCATGAACTGCCATGTAAGATGCCATATGGTAAGATGTAGAATGAAGGATATGTTTCATGAACTGCCATATGGTAAGATGTAGAATGAAGGATAGGTTACATATGGTAAGATGTAGAATGAAGGATATGTTACATGAACTGCATATGGTAAGATGTAGAATGAAGGATATGTTTCATGAACTGCCATATGGTAAGATGTAGAATGAAGGATATGTTTCATGAACTGCCATATGGTAAGATGTAGAATGAAGGATATGTTTCATGAACTGCCATATGGTAAGATGTAGAATGAAGGATATGTTTCATGAACTGCCATATGGTAAGATGTAGAATGAAGGATATGTTTCATGAACTGCCATATGGTAAGATGTAGAATGAAGGATAGGTTACATATGGTAAGATGTAGAATGAAGGATATGTTTCATGAACTGCCATATGGTAAGATGTAGAATGAAGGATATGTTTCATTAACTGCCATATGGTAAGATGTAGAATGAAGGATATGTTCCATATGGTAAGATGTAGAATGAAGGATATGTTTCATGAACTGCCATATGGTAAGATGTAGAATGAAGGATAGGATTTTCATGAACTGCCATATGGTAAGATGTAGAATGAAGGATATGGATAAGATGTAGAATGAAGGATATGTTTCATGAACTGCCATATGGTAAGATGTAGAATGAAGGATATGTTTCATGAACTGCCATATGGTAAGATGTAGAATGAAGGATATGTTTCATGAACTGCCATATGGTAAGATGTAGAATGAAGGATATGTTTCATGAACTGCCATATGGTAAGATGTAGAATGAAGGATAGGTTACATGAACTGCCATATGGTAAGATGTAGAATGAAGGATATGTTTCATGAACTGCCATATGGTAAGTGTAGAATGAAGGATAGGTTTCATGAACTGCCATATGGTAAGATGTAGAATGAAGGATATGGAACTGCCATATGTAAGATGTAGGAATGAAGGATATGTTTCATGAACTGCCATATGGTAAGATGTAGAATGAAGGATATGTTTCATGAACTGCCATATGGTAAGATGTAGAATGAAGGATATGTTTCATGAACTGCCATATGGTAAGATGTAGAATGAAGGATAGGTTACATGAACTGCCATATGGTAAGATGTAGAATGAAGGATATGTTTCATGAACTGCCATATGGTAAGATGTAGAATGAAGGATATGTTTCATGAACTGCCATATGGTAAGATGTAGAATGAAGGATATGTTTCATGAACTGCCATATGGTAAGATGTAGAATGAAGGATATGTTTCATGAACTGCCATATGGTAAGATGTAGAATGAAGGATATGTTTCATGAACTGCCATATGGTAAGATGTAGAATGAAGGATATGTTTCATGAACTGCCATATGGTAAGATGTAGAATGAAGGATATGTTTCATGAACTGCCATATGGTAAGATGTAGAATGAAGGATATGTTTCATGAACTGCCATATGGTAAGATGTAGAATGAAGGATATGTTTCATGAACTGCCATATGGTAAGATGTAGAATGAAGGATATGTTTCATGAACTGCCATATGGTAAGATGTAGAATAAGGATATGTTTCATGAACTGCCATATGTGGTAAGATGAAGGATATGTTTCATGAACTAGGTTATATGGTAAGATGTAGAATGAAGGATATGTTTCATGAACTGCCATATGGTAAGATGTAGAATGAAGGATAGGTTTCATGAACTGCCATATGGTAAGATGTAGAATGAAGGATAGGTTACATGAACTGCCATATGGTAAGATGTAGAATGAAGGATATGTTTCATGAACTGCCATATGGTAAGATGTAGAATGAAGGATAGGTTTCATGAACTGCCATATGGTAAGATGTAGAATGAAGGATATGTTTCATGAACTGCCATATGGTAAGATGTAGAATGAAGGATAGGTTACAGAACTGCCATAAGGAAGATGTAGAATGAAGGATATGTTTCATGAACTGCATATGGTAAGATGGTGAAAGATGTAGAATGAAGGATATGTTTCATGAACTGAACTGCCATATGGTAAGATGTAGAATGAAGGATATGTTGCCAGAATGAAGGATGACATATGGTAAGATGTAGAATGAAGGATATGTTTCATGAACTGCCATATGGTAAGATGTAGAATGAAGGATATGTTTCATGAACTGCCATATGGTAAGATGTAGAATGAAGGATATGTTTCATGAACTGCCATATGGTAAGATGTAGAATGAAGGATATGTTTCATGAACTGCCATATGGTAAGATGTAGAATGAAGGATATGTTTCATGAACTGCCATATGGTAAGATGTAGAATGAAGGATATGTTTCATGAACTGCCATATGGTAAGATGTAGAATGAAGGATATGGTTCATGAACTGCCATATGGTAAGATGTAGAATGAAGGATATGTTTCATGAACTGCCATATGGTAAGATGTAGAATGAAGGATATGTTTCATGAACTGCCATATGGTAAGATGTAGAATGAAGGATATGTTTCATGAACTGCCATATGGTAAGATGTAGAATGAAGGATATGTTTCATGAACTGCCATATGGTAAGATGTAGAATGAAGGATAGGATATGTTTCATGAACTGCCATATGGTAAGATGTAGAATGAAGGATATGTTTCATGAACTGCCATATGGTAAGATGTAGAATGAAGGATATGTTTCATGAACTGCCATATGGTAAGATGTAGAATGAAGGATATGTTTCATGAACTGCCATATGGTAAGATGTAGAATGAAGGATATGTTTCATGAACTGCCATATGGTAAGATGTAGAATGAAGGATATGTTTCATGAACTGCCATATGGTAAGATGTAGAATGAAGGATATGTTTCATGAACTGCCATATGGTAAGATGTAGAATGAAGGATATGTTTCATGAACTGCCATATGGTAAGATGTAGAATGAAGGATATGTTTCATGAACTGCCATATGGTAAGATGTAGAATGAAGGATATGTTTCATGAACTGCCATATGGTAAGATGTAGAATGAAGGATATGTTTCATGAACTGCCATATGGTAAGATGTAGAATGAAGGATATGTTTCATGAACTGCCATATGGTAAGATGTAGAATGAAGGATATGTTTCATGAACTGCCATATGGTAAGATGTAGAATGAAGGATAGGTTACATTAACTGCCATATGGTAAGATGTAGAATGAAGGATATGTTTCATGAACTGCCATATGGTAAGATGTAGAATGAAGGATATGTTTCATGAACTGCCATATGGTAAGATGTAGAATGAAGGATAGGTTTCATGAACTGCCATATGGTATGTAGAATGAAGATGTGAAGAATGTAAAGGATATGTTTCATGAACTGCCATATGGTAAGATGTAGAATGAAGGATATGTTTCATGAACTGCCATATGGTAAGATGTAGAATGAAGGATAGGTTACATTAACTGCCATATTGTAAGATGTAGAATGAAGGATATGTTTCATGAACTGCCATATGGTAAGATGTAGAATGAAGGATATGTTTCATGAACTGCCATATGGTAAGATGTAGAATGAAGGATAGGTTTCATGAACTGCCATATGGTAAGATGTAGAATGAAGGATATTGTAAGATGTTTCATGAACTGCCATATGGTAAGATGTAGAATGAAGGATAGGTTTCATGAACTGCCATATGGTAAGATGTAGAATGAAGGATAGGTTATATTAACTGCCATATGGTAAGATGTAGAATGAAGGATAGTTACATGAACTGTAGAAGATGAAGGATGAAGGATAGGTTACATTAACTGCCATATGGTAAGATGTAGAATGAAGGATATGTTTCATGAACTGCCATATGGTAAGATGTAGAATGAAGGATAGGTTACATGAACTGCCATATGGTAAGATGTAGAATGAAGGATATGTTTCATGAACTGCCATATTAACTGCCATATGGTAAGATGTAGAATGAAGGATATGTTTCATGAACTGCCATATGGTAAGATGTAGAATGAAGGATAGGTTACATATGGTAAGATGTAGAATGAAGGATAGGTTACATTAACTGCCATATGGTAAGATGTAGAATGAAGGATATGTTTCATGAACTGCCATATGGTAAGATGTAGAATGAAGGATAGGTTACATATGGTAAGATGTAGAATGAAGGATATATGGTAAGATGTAGAATGAAGGATAGGTTACATTAACTGCCATATGGTAAGATGTAGAATGAAGGATAGGTTACATATGGTAAGATGTAGAATGAAGGATAGGCTACATTAACTGCCATAGGTTAAGATGTAGAATGAAGGATAGGTTGCATATGGTTAGATGTAGAATGAAGGATAGGTTACATTAACTGCCATATGGTAATATGTAGAATGAAGGATAGGTTACATAATTTGCCAAAGAAAGGCGGGTGACCGTTATAGTTAATATTTGGTGTTTGGTCAGTAAGAGAATGATCAAACTATGTATGAAAGTGACACATACCTGTCTCACATGGTGATAGGACACCTACATACAATTCTACTAGATTTCACTACTGATACTTTTGATAAGCTGTATTAAAGTACTGTTTGAATTGAAGAGTCTTGAATGTATTTGGTTACGTATTCACTCATACAGTTGTTTCAGAACATGTTTGCCGTTCAACCTGAATATATTATTGACCGACAACAGTAACATTAGTTATATGATTTGTGAATAAAGACATTTTGATTTCGATTCATGAATAATGATCTTTGGAATTGTGGCTGTGTTTAAAGGGCTTGATTGTTAAGAATTTTACAATGTATAAGCTACCACAGTTTGATATATGCTCATGGAAATGAATAAAGGAACACATGAAAGTACAAGTGTTCGTTTATTCATTCCCAGAATTTCACCTGCAGTGCAGTACATACCTTGTGAAGAAACCTGGAAAAGAATAAAGGAACACTTGTATTTTTATGTGTTACCTTATTCGTTTCCATGAGTATATATTTTGAGCTCAAATTCCTGTTTGGTCATGATTATCTGATCTTGACATGAACATCTGTGATTACGTGAGAGGTTGGTGTATGTCAGTTACCCCTTTGTGCCAGCTGTTCCCTTTACTGTTATGTCATTGTTAGCACATCATGGAGTGCATGGATCATTCAGAAAGATTCAAGATGTTAGGTCTTAGGTTTTAAGTGTGTTGAAATCAGTTGAATACTGAATGAATCACTCATAAAATGGTCATATGTCAGTGATGAATCAAACCATTGTTTCAAGTTCAAGGGTTTGGAAATATGCAACTGTGTCACCATTAGCTCATCTTGATATAGTCATTAGGAATTCCACCAGGGATATAAACTAGCTGTATACGTCAGTAAATGTAAACTTGCTGTATACTATGTAAACTTGCTGTGTACAACAGGGGATGTTGACCTGCTGTATACAACATGGGATGTTAACTTGCTGTATACAACAGGGGATGTTAACCTGCTGTATACAACGGGGATGTTAACCTGCTGTATACAACTGGGGATGTTAACTTGCTGTATACAACTGGGGATGTTAACTTGCTGTATACAACGGGGATGTTAACCTGCTGTATACAACGGGGATGTTAACCTGCTGTATACAACTGGGGATGTTAACTTGCTGTATACAACTGGGGATGTTAACTTGCTGTATACAACAGGGGATGTTAACCTGCTGTATACAACAGGGGATGTTAACTTGCTGTATACAACAGGGGATGTTAACTTGCTGTATACAACAGGGGATGTTAACACGCTGTATACAGCAGGGGATGTTAACCTGCTGTATACAGCAGGGGATGTTAACCTGCTGTATACAACTGGGGATGTTAACTTGCTGTATACAACAGGGGATGTTAACCTTATGTATACAACTGGGGATGTTAACTTGCTGTGTACAACAGGGGATGTTAACTTGTACACAACAGGGGATGTTAACCTGCTGTATACAACAGGGGATGTTAACTTGCTGTATACAACGGGGATGTTAACCTGCTGTATACAATAGGGGATGTTAACCTGCTGTATACAACAGGGGATGTTAACTTGCTGTATACAATGGGGATGTTAACCTGCTGTATACAACAGGGGATGATGACGTGCTGTATACAACAGGGGATGATGACCTGCTGTATACAACAGGGGATGTTAACCTGCTGTATACAACGGGGGATGTTAACCTTATGTACACAACAGGGGATGTTAACTTTCTGTATACAATAGGGGATGTTAACCTGCTGTATACAACAGGGGATGTTAACTTGCTGTATACAACGGGATGTTAACCTACTGTATACAACGGGGGATGTTAACACGCTGTATACAACAAGGCATGTTGACCTGCTGTATACAACGGGGGATGTTAACCTGCTGTATACAACAGGGGATGTTAACCTGCTGTATACAATGGGGGATGTTAACCTGCTGTATACAATGGGGGATGTTAACTTGCTGTATACAACTGAGGAAGTTAACTTGCTGTATACAACAGGGGATGTTAACCTGCTGTATACAACAGGGGATGTTAACTTGCTGTATACAACGGGGATGTTAACCTGCTGTATACAATGGGGGATGTTAACATGCTGTATACAACAAGGCATGTTGACCTGCTGTATACAACAGGGGATGTTAACCTGCTGTATACAACGGGGGATGTTGACCTGTATACAACAGGGGATGTTAACATGCTGTATACAATAGGGGATGTTAACTTGCTGTATACAACAGGGGATGTTAACACGCTGTATACAACAAGGCATGTTGACCTGCTGTATACAATAGGGGATGTTAACCTGCTGTATACAACGGGGGATGTTAACCTGCTGTATACAACAGGGGATGTTAACCTGCTGTATACAACTGGGGAAGTTAACTTGCTGTATACAACAGGGGATGTTAACCTGCTGTATACAATAGGGGATGTTAACCTGCTGTATACAATAGGGGATGTTAACCTGCTGTATACAATAGGGGATGTTAACCTGCTGTATACAACTGGGGAAGTTAACTTGCTGTATACAATAGGGGATGTTAACCTGCTGTATACAACAGGGGATGTTAACCTGCTGTATACAATAGGGGATGTTAACTGCTTCTTTTCTTACTGTTTTCCACAATTGATGCAAATCTAATCATGCTTCTTTTCTGTGACTGTTTTACTTTGAAAATCAGAGTTACCATGCAGTTGCACCATGCCATTGAGTTTTGTGTTTGATACACACGAATAATACCTATTGAAGCAGCAGTCATTTGTTAGGTTAACTCCAATCCAGTGACAGCATGATTTACAGCCTATCCTTCAAGTTGAAGTCACTTGTGAAGGTGAGCTTCAGGTCCTGTAGTACTGATGTATGTGTGAGACTTCATAAGGGCAATCACTAACATATGCTTGTACTTTGACTGACTTCAGATGTTGTTGCAGATCTGCCTGAGGCAGAGGCCGCTGAGTTGCAAAACAAGCTCTTAGTCCTCAACACAATGAACCAAGAGGTACTTCTCGCATGTATCCAGCATAGCCACTGCTGTTTGCTGAATCCCACCCACCTCAAATCTTAACTGACTTAACCACTTGATTTCACACACACAACTTCTTGATCTGATCTCTTTGCCTGCTCAACTGTATTCTTCACCTAGGCCTAGATTTTCGAAGCTCTCTTAGCGCTAAGATAGTCGTGTGCCATACATTAACATTAACTTACGACTATCTTTGCGCTAAAAGAGCTTAAAAAATCTAGGCACTGTATTCCTACTCACCTGTCTTTCTTTCTACTCACCTGTACTCCTTCTCACTCACCTTTCTTCTTTCTTCCTACTCACCTGTACTCTTCTCACTTGGCCATCGTCTTACTTCCTATTCACCTGTATTCCATATCATCTAAGTTCCCACATATCTGTATTCCCAACTCACCTGTAGTCCTACTGACCTGTATTTGTCACTCTTATATACATTCCCCACTCACCATTATTCACCGACCATCTGTATTCCCAACTCACCTGTAGTCCCACTGACCTGTATTTGTCACTCTTATATACATTCCCCATTCACCTGTATTCACCAACCATCTGAATTTGAACTCCTCTGTATTCCCTGCTATCGAACTTGTCACTCACCTACATTTACCTCCCATCTGTATTCCCCAGTCACCTGTATTCACCAGCCATCTGTATTCCCCACTCACCTGTATTCACCAGCCATCTGTATTCCCCACTCACCTGTATTCCCACCCACAACTCCTACCACCCATCTGTATTCCCCACTCACCTGTATTCACCAACCATCTGTATTCCCCACTCACCTGTATTCACCAGCCATCTGTATTTTCCACTCACCTGAATTACCACCCACAACTCCTACCACCCATCTGTATTCCCCACCCACCTGTATTCTCCACTCACCTGTATTCCCCACTCACTTGTATTCCCACCCATCTGTTTTCCCCACTCACCTGTATTCCCCAATCATCTGTATTCTCCACTCACCTGTATTCACCACCCATCTGTATTCCCCACTCACCTGTATTCCCAGCCATCTGTATTCCCCACTCACCTGTATTCCCCAGCCATCTGTATTCCCCACTCACCTGTATTCACCACCCATCTGTATTCCCCACTCACCTGTATTCCCCAGCCATCTGTATTCCCCACTAACCTGTATCTACCACCAATCTGTATTCCCCACTCACCTGTATTCCCACCCACCTCTCAGCTGCTACCAACCTAAAACTGTGCTTCTGTTTATTCAGCACATTTTTTTACAAGTTGACATTACTTATTTAAATATTGCCATATCTTTGTTTGTTCAAATTATACATTACATCCTACATATCACCACCAGACAATGACCACATGGAGATTAGGGCTAAACTGGTATTGAGCAACCCACACTTGTTGTAAGAGACAGTCATGGGACTGAATAGTCAGGCTCTTTGACTTCATGCATATCATTGTCTGCTAGTTGCATAGGTGAATGCTCACACTGTCTAAAACCGATTTGTCTCGTCCAGTGTCAATTATTTACAGACCCCCATGATATAGCTGGAACATGCTGAATGCAGTGTTTTACCGACAGACATAAACCAGTAGAGAGACAATGGTGCTTGGGCTCATTGTTACTCTCACTCTGATTAATGCTGAGATCTTAAGAATGTAAATTACGTTCCTTTGAGGAAATTGGGAATATGAATTATTGATGCATGGTTTTGTCAGCAGTAACAGTCTCTCACAGTTGAACACCTGGGGAATATTCCACCTGAACGCTCTGCCGTCATGTTGGTACGACCTATGCACAAGGTAGCTTCTACTGATAGTGTATCGACTGTAATCCAATGAAGGGTGTTGAGGTGTGACACATTACATACACATGTTCCTGGCCAAAGGATATTCATTGTGTTAGGCACTATGGATTATTTTTCCTCACTTTCTCTTGTGATATATATCTGTGACTTAATCGATTATATCTCAGCAATTTAGATTTGTTTGTTATTTTATCATCAACAGATGCTTGCTTTACAAGAACAACCACGACGGCCACCATCCTATTCTCAGTGTAAGTGTAGTAAGATTAGATATTACATCAGCAGACAGGCAGCATATGAGGGAAAGAGATAATTTAGTAATCCATTTTGGGTTAAATCAGTGTCCTCCATCAATAGAAAGCCAGAACAAGTAATATATTCTACCCAAATCTTAGTAGGGATTATGAGATGTGTTTATGTGTAATCGGGCCCGTGAAGATCCAGGGTAGAATTGGTCTTCAGCAACCCACGCTTGCCACAAAAGGCGACTATGCTTGTCGTAAGAGGCAACTAACGGGATCGGGTGGTCAGACTCGCTGACTTGGTTGACACATGTCATCGGTTCCCAATTGCGCAGATTGATGCTCATGCTGTTGACCACTGGATTGTCTGGTCCAGACTCGATTATTTACAGACCGCCGCCATATAGCTGGAATATTGCTAATATTGGAAAAATTGACAGTATGTATCTGTGTATTTTACTCGAAACAAGAATACCCTCTTAATGTACTACCCATCACTAGTGTAAATATAGCCACTTACTTCAGTCAACTGATATAAACTAGACTTTGCAAAATATTCCATAAGGTTTAAAGGTACTGTTTACATATGAACTGAGGTATTGTTAAACAAATTAGTAACTTTGAAAACATTATTGTCATGAGTTCAATAAATGATGAAACTCTGTGAAAATTGGACAATTCTTAACAAAACTTTACACCAAAATGCAGCTGTTCACATGCACAATATTTGCACATGCTTTTCAGCAATTTGATGCATGATCCTCGTGCAATTCAGCTGCATAAGGTTTGCAGTTAGTTCCCCCATGTTAGTGGAGAAATTCATCTTCGATGTAGCCATATGTATATATATACTACCCATCAAAAGTTTAGACTCACTTGAAGATCTCACTATATGTTATGTATATATATGTGGTTACATAGAAGATGAATTTCTCCATTAACTTGGGGGAACCAACTGCAAACCTTATGCAGATGAATTGCAAGAGGATTATGAATCAAATTGCTAAAAAGCATGTGCAAATATCGTGCATGTGAACAGCTGTGTTTTGGTGTAAAGTTTTGTTAAAAATTCTACAATTTCCACTGAGATTCATAATTTATTGAACTCTTGACAATAATCTTTACAACATTACGAATTTGTTTTACAATACATCAGTTCATGTGTAAACTGTACCTTTAAACAGTATGGAATATTTTGCAAATTCTAGTTTAGAACAGTTGACTGAAGTAAGTGGCTACATTGACACTAGTGAGTCTAAACTTTTGATGGGTAGTATATATATATATATGCATAACATATAGTGAGTGCTTTAAGTGAGTCTAAACTTTTGATGGGTAGTATATATGAATCTGTTCTTTTACTTCTATTGAGTAGTGTGGGCGGTGGGGTAGCCTTGTGGTTAAAGCGTTGGCTCGTCATGCCGAAGACTCGGGTTCGATTCCCCACATGGGTACAATGTGGGAAGCCTATTACTGGTGTTCCCTGCCATGATATTGCTGGAGTATTGCCAAAAGCGGCGTAAAACCATACTCACTCACTCACTAACTCTTTTTGAGTAGTAGATATGATACACTGATTCATGGATACGAAGGTCACATATGTTAAACAATGTGTTAAGAGTCAAATGTCTTAGCAGACTTTAAGTCTGCCTCAAACTTGTCATACCAGATACGGTGCTTTCATTGTCTTCCTTAACCCCAAAGACTAGAAAGTGTATGTACTAAACTGGATGTTTGAATTTGTTCTTGTCATGCTCCCATATGTATGGTCGAGGGTCAAACTTTTACCGACAATTGTATGTGGTACTGACTTACAACAGATTGACACATACATGGGCAGTTAGTAACCCAACTGAGAGAGTCGAGAGTTGATGTGCAAGTATGTGTCCAGTACCTACAAATATCGATTATTGATGCAGAAAAGAAAACGATCAACTGAGTGCCAAGGGACGTTATGTGACTAAGTTGAGAGTGATAATGGGTGGCCAGTGACAAACGAGAGCTTTGTGAAATGGAGCCATGGTCTTCTGTGGTATGTCATTGTATCAAGTGACCAACGAGTACCTGTTGGTAGACAGACGAACAAGTTACATATACCAGCAGCCTTATGTATCACCATTATATGTGGTTTGACAGGTCAATATAGTGCTGTCAGCTTCACCTCTCTCCTGGCCCAGCAGCCATCATGGTCACAGACACGTTAACAAACTCTAGTTATTAATTCCACACATTCATTACCATACAGACTCAACAAGCAAATCTTTTGGGAGACTGTGCTTAAGACAATTTGGAGACAGCCATAGCACATTTTTCAGTCTCGGCATATGGTTTGTTGTCAACCTTCCAGTCTCCATGATGGAGGGGAATGTCTGGCACTGCAGACAAGTGCATACGTTCCTTGAAGTTAAAGAATCAGCAGCATGGAAGATGAGTAGACATGATGCAGCGATGGAGGTTGTTGTGATTGCTCTCCAACAGATGGCCAGCTATCTCCAGCTGGCTCTCGGCATCTAGACTGTCATAGTGTCAGTGTTTCTGCATCACCTAATTTCAGGTTCCCATGCAGGTACATATACTCCTCTTGTATTTATGGAATCTAGAATTGTGGTCTGTGACCTTTAAAGTGAGGTTTGTGACATGTGATCTGTGAAGTGAGGTCTGTGACATGCATACTGTGACATGTGACCTTTGAAGTGAGGGCAGTGACATGCAGACTGTGAATATGACATGCAGACTGTGACATGTACCCTTTGAAGTGAGGACAGTGACATGCAGACTGTGACATGTGACCTTTGAAGTGAGGGCAGTGACATGCAAACTGTGACATGTGACCTTTGAAGTGAGGGCAGTGACATGCAGACTGTGACCTTTGAAGTGAGGTCTGTGACATGCAGACTGTGACGTGACCCATGAAGTGTATCACTTAACACCTGTGACATGTGATCTGTGACATGCAAACAAAGATGTATGGGTATATGTAGAATGTTTTGTGTCAAGAGTATTTAAGGCACACACTTCAATCATCTCTGTGTAGGAGTAAACACAGGTGGACAAGCTGCTGAACACAGTTGTATCCTTTGCCAGAAATTTATAATTATGGGTTTGAATCCTTGATTTTTCCAGTTTTTTAGCACCATTTCCTACTCTCAGTTTCATGAAAGTGGTACATATTTAAGCCTGCATCAAGTAGAACTTTCCTGCAACATCAAGTCGACACATCAGGATATACATTCAGACATTAGACCAGAGATACATCATATAAGCTATCTATGCCTACTGGTCAGAGATACAGTCCAAGAGAGATCAGTTTAACCATCTATTCTTGTCATTCATATATTAAACCTGAGATGTAGCTTCCATTTCCTATTGTCATCAAATCGGTTTCAGCTGGCATGTCTGAGGACAGTGACTATACCAGCGATGTCAACTTCCCCCTACAACACCAGCACAATACATCAGCACACCAATATCGAAGCCACCCGGACCATCCCTACAGGTTGCGGGAGGATCGTGACTACCCGCGCTTTGACTCCTTCGACCGCTCATTTGACAGAGGGTTTGAACGTGAGCCAGACTACTACCAAGATGGCAGCCTGTACCAACCAGGGCGCAGTGACACCGACTCAGAACCCCTATACTACAATAGTCGACCCAACAGTCGGCCTCAATCTTTCATTAACGACAGGTGAGCTTTGTTTTGACAGGTAAGATATTTGATTGTAATATGATCATTCCGTACCTGTACAGTAAGAATTTGTCGTGATTGCTCTATCCTTTGACACTTTTTGATGTAGTTTTTGTCAAGTTGTCCAACAAAGCACTATTCCCAGTGGTAGACCCTGTTACATCAGTTTTGTGATAGTGAGAAATGTTTGGTGTCGTTGGACACTGTTGGTTTTGTGTGACTGTTAGGCTTATTGGAGTTACCTGACATTGTTTTGTATGTGAGATGAGTTTTCAACCTGCCACTGTTTCAGTATGATGAGCCCTCCCAGGTGAGCTGTTTGACACAGTTCAGTAGATCAGCCTGTAGTGTTTCTACGTAGTACAATTGCATGATGAACAGTGCATGTTTTACATACCAACTCTAACATGGGATCACAGAAGCCTAATAGACTAAGACATTGTTCTGTGAAAACTTGTTAACAATCGAACTGTCCTCTAGATATGACACTTTGACAACTTTCTTAGAAAAAGTTTGAATTTGAATTATTTTTCTTTTATTATGTCATAAAATTTTGTTTTTTTGTTGGCTTTGCACCTTTATTCAGTCTCATTCAAATCATATCTTAGAAATAGCTACTGCTACGCAAAGATCTGAGGACAGTCCAGTATGACCTCTCCTGAACTTTGCCCTACTAATGAAATTGACTAAGAGGTTGTCAACATTAGCTCTTCAGCACTAGTTTCAAACTCCATGTTGACCTCTGTCCCTTCTTATACTTTGAAAAGTACTGAAGCAAAGTTGTTGATTCAAAATTTTAAGACTGAATAACAGAAGATTCTGGAATGTCTGATTTAGGGCCATGATTTATAGGCTGTGTGTAATGTCACCTCTGTTTCATAGTTTTATGACTGTTAAAGCAAGAGAGAGGCAATGATTTTTTACGGAACCACAGTCTATGACTTTTGCTCATTAAATCTTGTCTTAACCTTTAAGGTTTACATGATTAGGAAATGCCTTCCAACTGTCACTTTCAGTCTCTGAAGCTCTGAGGGAGCAGATGAAAGGTCATTGTGATGTCTTGTGATGGGATGTCCTCTGATCTGTATGTATATGTAATGGCAGCTAGCACAAGGATCTCATTAACCTCCGATCTGTATGTACGTGTAATGGCAGCTAGCACAAGGATCTAATTGTCCTCCGATCTGTATGTACGTGTAATGGCAGCTAGCACAAGGATCTGATTGTCCTCCGATCTGTATGTACGTGTAATGGCAGCTAGCACAAGGATCTGATTGTCCTCTGATCTGTATGTAAGTGTAATGGCAGCTAGCACAAGGATCTGATTGTCCTCCGATCTGTATGTAAGTGTAATGGCAGCTAGCACAAGGATCTGATTGTCCTCCGATCTGTATGTACGTGTAATGGCAGCTAGCGCAAGGATCTGATTGTATTGAGACTGCACCTGTTGACAAACTGCTATCACAGCATAAGTAGGGTTCACAGCTTACAACAGACCTACTTACAGGTGTGATTCAGATGATTCTCACTTATGGTATCCAGTAGGTAGCTGTTGTAGTCAACTTCCTGTACATAAATGGTTTTTATTGATCCCTAGTTTCCTTCAGTATCGTTAGTTAAAGGTCACCTTTCATCTCACTGACTGACGTGCCTCAGATGTACTTCATCTGTGTTCTTCTTTTGATTAGTTTTCATCCATTTTGAAACTCTAACTGACAAGTTATACAAAGAGCTGGGAACTCCTTTTGGATTATTTTCCTCAGGAGAAATTCAGGGGCTATCATTCCACTTTCCTTCAGTTATCAGTACCGGTACTTTTCTTCTGCATGCTTTTTATCTTCTATGCTTGATTTTAGTGTATTATTGATAAAAAGATAATCATAATCAAAATAAAATGATATTCAAATGTTGAATAAATTAATGAATGGATATAACTGGGACTCTTCTGGGAAAACATGGCTCGTTATATTGTACATTATCACGAGCACCATTTTACTCACTTTGAGAAATAATGGGTAAACAGTAGGTTTATGGGCTTATTCTTGTCAGTTGCATCTACATCTGGAAGTAAACATAGAGAGGTTGTCAGGTCTGCCATACTATTCAAGGGCACACCTCTGTGGAATAATCAGGAAGAACTTGGGGTTCTGTCTCCTCCTTTTCTTAAACAAGGGGGGAATGAATTGTCTGTGTTCCTGATGGTATCTCTCCCATCGGTCCATACACTGTGGTTGGTGTTCCTGAAGGTATCTCTCCCATTGGTCCACACACTGTGGTTGGTGTTCCTGATGGTGTCTCTCCCATCAGTCCATACACTGTGTGTTGGTGTTCCTGATGATGTCTCTCCCATCGATCCACACACTGTGTGTTGGTGTTCCTGATGGTATCTCTCCCATCCGTCCATACACTGTGGTTGGTGTTTGTGATGGTGTCTCTCCCATCGGTCCACACACTGTGGTTGGTGTTCCTGATGGTATCTCTCCCATCGATCCATACACTGTGTGTTGGTGTTCCTGATGGTATCTCTCCCATCCATCCATACACTGTGGTTGGTGTTCCTGATGGTATCTCTCCCATCCGTCCACACACTGTGGTTGGTGTTCCTGATGGTATCTCTCCCATCGGTCCATACACTGTGTGTTGGTGTTCCTGATGGTATCCCTCCCATCGATCCATACACTGTGGTTGGTGTTCCTGATGGTATCTCTCCCATCTGTGGTTGGTGTTCCTGTCCCCCACACTGTGTGTTGGTGTTCCTGATGGTATCTCTCCCATCCGTCCACACACTGTGTTGGTTGGTGTTCCTGATGGTGTCTCTCCCATCGATCCACACACTCCATACACCTTGATGGTATCTCTCCCATCTGATGGTCCACACACTGTGGTTGGTGTTCCTGATGGTGTCTCTCCCATCCGTCCATACACTGTGTGTTGGTGTTCCTGATGGTATCTCTCCCATCCGTCCATACACTGTGGTTGGTGTTCCTGATGGTGTCTCTCCCATACACTTTGTGTGTTGGTGTTCCTGTCCATACACTGTGTGTTGGTGTTCCTGATGGTATCTCTCCCATCCGTCCCACACACTGTGGTTGGTGTTCCTGATGGTGTCTCTCCCATCGGTCCATACACTGTGTGTTGGTGTTCCTGATGGTATCTCTCCCATGTGTTGGGTCCACACACTGTGTGTTGGTGTTCCTGATGGTGTCTCTCCCATCCGTCCATACACTGTGTGGTTGGTGTTCCTGATGGTGGTGTTCCTGATGGTATCTCTCTCCCATCGGTCCATACACTGTGGTTGGTGTTCCTGATGGTATCTCTCCCATCCATCCATACACTGTGGTTGGTGTTCCTGATGGTATCTCTCCCATCCGATCCACACACTGTGGTTGGTGTTCCTGATGGTATCTCTCCCATCCGTCCATACACTGTGTGTTGGTGTTCCTGATGGTATCTCTCCCATCGGTCCATACACTGTGTGGTTGGTGTTCCTGATGGTATCTCTCCCATCGGTCCATACACTGTGGTTGATGTTCCTGATGGTATCTCTCCCATCGGTCCATACACTGTTCCTGATGGCATCTATCCTTGTTGGTGTTCCTGATGGTATCTCTCCCATCAGTCCACACACTGTGGTTGGTGTTCCTGATGGTATCTCTCTCATCCCATCCCACACACTGTGTGTTGGTGTTCCTGATGGTATCTCTCCCATCGGTCCATACACTGTGGTTGGTGTTCCTGATGGTATCTCTCCCATCGATCCATACACTGTGTGTTGGTGTTCCTGATGGTATCTCTCCCATCAGTCCACACTGTGGTTGGTGTTCCTGATGGTATCTCTCCCATCCGTCCATACACTGTGGTTGGTGTTCCTGATGGTATCTCTCCCATCCGTCCACACACTGTGTGTTGGTGTTCCTGATGGTATCTCTCCCATCCGTCCATACACTGTGGTTGGTGTTCCTGATGGTATCTCTCCCATCGGTCCATACACTGTGTGGTTGGTGTTCCTGATGGTATCTCTCCCATCAGTCCACACACTGTGTGTTGGTGTTCCTGATGGTATCTCTCCCATCAGTCCATACACTGTGTGTTGGTGTTCCTGATGGTATCTCTCCCATCGGTCCATACACTGTGGTTGGTGTTCCTGATGGTATCTCTCCCATCAGTCCACACACTGTGTGTTGGTGTTCCTGATGGTGTCTCTCCCATCGGTCCATACACTGTGTGTTGGTGTTCCTGATGGTATCTCTCCCATCGGTCCACACACTGTGTGTTGGTGTTCCTGATGGTATCTCTCCCATCAGTCCACACACTGTGGTTGGTGTTCCTGATGGTATCTCTCCCATCCGTCCATACACTGTGGTTGGTGTTCCTGATGGTATCTCTCCTCTCCCATCAGTCTCCCATCCATCCATACACTGTGGTTGGTGTTCCTGATGGTATCTCTCCCATCGGTCCACACACTGTGGTTGGTGTTCCTGATGGTATCTCTCCCATCCGTCCACACACTGTGGTTGGTGTTCCTGATGGTGTCTCTCCCATCAGTCCATACACTGTGGTTGGTGTTCCTGATGGTATCTCTCCCATCAGTCCACACACTGTGGTTGGTGTTCCTGATGGTATCTCTCCCATCGGTCCATACACTGTGGTTGGTGTTCCTGATGGTATCTCTCCCATCAGTCCACACACTGTGGTTGGTGTTCCTGAAGGTATCTCTCCCATCAGTCCACACACTGTGGTTGGTGTTCCTGATGGTGTCTCTCCCATCAGTCCACACACTGTGTGTTGGTGTTCCTGATGGTATCTCTCCCATCAGTCCACACACTGTGTGTTGGTGTTCCTGATGGTGTCTCTCCCATCAGTCCCACACACTGTGTGGTTGGTGTTCCTGATGGTATCTCTCCCATCAGTCCATACACTGTGGTTGGTGTTCCTGATGGTATCTCTCCCATCAGTCCACACACTGTGGTTGGTGTTCCTGACTGGTATCTTCGGTCCATCAGTCCACACGTGGTTGGTGTTCCTGACATCGGTGTGTGTGTTGGTGTTCCTGATGGTATCTCTCCCATCGGGTCCCACACTGTGGTTGGTGTTCCTGATGGTGTCTCTCCCATCGTCCACACACTGTGGTTGGTGTTCCTGATGGTATCTCCCCATCGGTCCACACACTGTGTGTTGGTGTTCCTGATGGTGTCTCTCCCATCGGTCCACACACTGTGTGTTGGTGTTCCTGATGGTGTCTCTCCCATCAGTCCATACACTGTGTGTTGGTGTTCCTGATGATGTCTCTCCCATCAGTCCACACACTGTGTGTTGGTGTTCCTGATGGTATCTCTCCCATCGGTTCATTCACTGTGTGTTGGTGTTCCTGAAGGTATCTCTCCCTTCGGTCCACACACTGTGGTTGGTGTTCCTGATGGTATCTCTCCCATCCGTCCATACACTGTGGTTGGTGTTACTGATGGTATCTCTCCCATCGGTCCACACACTGTGGTTGGTGTTCTTGAAGGTATCTCTCCCATCGGTCCACACACTGTGGTTGGTGTTCCTGATGGTATTTCTCCCATCAGTCCACACACCGTGGTTGATGTTCGTGATTGTAGTCTGGAGATACAGACTGTTCACTGGTCAGTATCGAACAATTTCATCAGTTACTGTATGGAGATGGAGGTACAAACTGCTGACTGGTCAGTATCCAACACTTTCATCAGTTGTAACATATGTTATATTTGTGATTACACTTTATTAGTTAAGTACAGATTCTAGTACCTTTGTTGAGTCCCGTCCGGGATTCGAACCCACACCCTCAGAGTCAGGCACCTTAATCACCAGCACACAAAGTCAGCCGCCTAACCCGCTCAGCCTCTGCTATGTGGAAGTCAGACTGTTCACTGGTCAGTATCCAACAATTTCATCAATTCAGCCTTGTCTGCTAGCGCCAAGAGCATGCTTACGAGCATGGATATGTGCGCATTATAAATACATTTTTGTATGCACTATTATTATTATTATTATTATTATTATTAAGCTGGCATACTCTGACATTCTACTAAAAATACAACCCATTTTAGTAACAGGACTATAGTTAATGTATCATGTTGAGATGGTTGTTAAATAACTTGTGTTATTTTTACTGAAATGCTGCTGAAAGAGTCATTACTCACTGACCCAGCATATTTGTGCTTAGTGGGCCTAGTGCAAGCATATAGGAATTCTTAGAGTCTTTGAACGGCATTTAGAAGTGATACACATAATGGCAAGAATTTATGGATGTCAGCTTCTTTATTGTGATGGACACAAGGTTTCAGATTATATCCTTACTCCTTCATCAGTTGAAAACAAAGAAGTTGACATATACTAGTATAAAATTCTTGCCTTTACAAATTTCTAGTCCTTCATGTTACTCTGTATTGTCGGTCTTTTTTAAATGTGTACTTGTAATTACAGTTTGCCACTGAGACACTATAACTAATATAGAATATCATCTGGCAAACAGAATACATCAACTCAGCTCATGCATTATGTATGAAGTAATAGCGGGTTCAAGCTGGTGGTATTGACCCACAATATTTCCACTTGAATATTCACTGGCTGAAAAAATACCACCATATTTGCTTAATCATCATATTGCAAGTTATTTTTCAAAAGCAGATGCATAAGTTAACTTGAATAATTTTTCCCTGATGTTTCAGACTGTGTTCGTTTTATATTAAGCTAACGGTTGGTCTCATACCATGGGATTCTTGACAGTGTTTTTTTTTAATTCAAAAGTTGAAATTCACAACTTATTTTCCTGAACTTATTTTATTGCTAAATGTGTGTTGATTGCTTTTATTATAAGCATCTTAGAATATACTTGCTGAGACAAGTGTGATTTGTGTTTTTCCATATGTGAATATTAGTGGTGGTGATCCTTGGAGATTATACTGAAAATTATCAGATTTTTATGCAATTACAGAATTCTGTGAAAAAATTTATGTGGAATCAATTATGGGTCTGAGCTTCTACTATCAGACCTGATCAATGAATGGTTTAAGCTACATCTTCAGACCTGATCATCAATTATGGACCTATTGACCTTATCATCAATTATAGATCTGTAGACCTGATCATCTATTATGGATCTATAGACCAGATCATCAATTATGGATCTGTAGACCAGATCATCTATTATGGATCTATAGACCAGATCATCAATTATGGATCTGTCAACCAGATCATCAATTATGGATCTGTAGACCTTGTCATCATCATGGATATGGATCTATATCAATTATGGATCAACCAGATCATCAATTATGGATTAATTATGGATCTGTAGACCAGTTCATCAATTATGGATCTGTAGACCAGATCATCAAGTATGGTACACCAGATCATGTACACCAGATCAGATCATCAATTATGGATCTGTACACCAGATCATCAATCATGGATCTGTAGACCAGATCATCAAGTATGGATCTGTACACCAGGCTAGCTATTCTCGAAACGTTCTTAGCCCTACAAACTTCTTAAGCCCATTCTTAACACATTGGCTACGATCGAAGTTACGAAATCTTAGGGCTACAAACGTTTCGAGAATAAGGGCCCAGATCATCAATTATGGATCTGTAGACCTGATCATCAAGAATGGATCTGTCGACCAGATTATCAATTATGGATCTGTACACCAGATCATCAATTATGGATCTGTAGACCTGATCATCAAGTATGGATCTGTAGACCTGATCATCAATTATGGATCTGTAGACCTGATCATCAAGAATGGATCTGTACACCAGATCATCAATTATGGATCTGTAGACCAGATCATCAATTATGGATCTGTACACCAGATCATCAATTATGGATCTGTTGACCAGATCATCAATTATGGATCTGTAGACCTGATCATCAATTATGGATGGATCTGATCATCAAGAATGGATCTGTAGACCAGATCATCAATTATGGATCTGTACACCAGATCATCAATTATGGATCTGTAGACCAGATCATCAATTATGGATCTGTAGACCAGATCATCAATTATGGATCTGTAGACCTGATCATCAATTATGGATCTGTAGACCAGATCATCAATTATGGATCAATTATGTCCACAGACCTTATAATCAATATTGGGTATTGGACCTGTTCAGCAAGATCTTCACCTGCAATCGGTGAAAATTGTGATAAAATACATGACTGGATAATGAAGAAGTCACCACATGTCACATGGCCTATAGAGATGCATCTCTGATAACTGAGCTGAATACATTCAGGATAATGAAGTGGGTATCACAAAGGTTTCAGCACGCTAGGTTCTAGGCTAGACTCCACTTTCATCACATGTTTAACATTGTTTTTAAGCAGACCCAACTGGGTCAGTTGAGTTATTTGTAATCATGGATAAGTGTTGGGTTCATCACTTTCAGCCAGAAAGGGGAGGGGAACATCGAACCTTCAGTAGAAGATGTGGTGATAAGATATTAATTAAATGCTGTTCAAAGTTCACACATGGTCACACATGACGGAAACATTTAAATTGGTGTTGTATTTGTTAATCTTTTAAATGAATGTAATAACAAGAATCAAGCAAGGGTTTTTGTTGAACAACCAGCTGCCTGAAAAAACTTTTCTTATGTTTCATAGCTTTATATCTTTGTGCACTTTATGTAGACATTTTAGTTCGTATATTGAAGCTTGTCACTTGAGATATTGTGAACATACTACCTTTACGAATGACAAGTCTTTATGGATGTTCAACTTCTTTATCATACAATAGCGACGTTTCGGTATAGATACTTCTACCGTGTTCAAGCCTCGGAAAACACTTAAGTATCTACACCCAAACGAAGCTATTGCACAATAACGAAGTTGATATCCATAAAGACTTGTCATTCCTATTACTTACAACTTCTTGAATGCCTCTCAAACAGTTCATACTACCTGTACATTTTGAAAGTAGAAGTTGTGTGCTTCTCTTTAATATTTTTTCCGCAGTGATGTTGGCAATCAAAGGGCCCCTTTACCCTAAAATGCTGACTAAAATGGGAGGTTGTGCTTTCTCCCAGCCGGTGGTCGTCTTATACTTCTGTGATAACATTTGTGACTGGTCACGAAGGTTCTTTCTTCACAGACACACTTCTATTTCAGCCCAGCCATGAGTCGTAACTCTTCCATGAACATGAGCCGTCAGAGCACCCAGGACTATAGGTCAGTATAGGTCAGACCTTAGATTTCAGCTTCGTATCAAACTCAGGTCCTAGACTTCGACTTAGTACCAAAGCGAGGCCTTAGACTTCGACATAGTAGTAAAGCGAGGCCCTAAACTTCAGCAAAGTATCAAAGCGAGGCCCTAAACTTCAGCATAGTATCTAAGTCAGGTCCTAGACTTTGACATAGCACCAAAGCGAGGCCTTAGACTTCGACATAGTACCAAAGCGAGGCCTTAGACTTCAGCAAAGTATCAAAGCGAGGCCCTAAACTTCAGCATAGTATCTAACTCATGTCCTAGACTTCAGCATAGTATCAAGTTTGGTATGCTCTCATCCTTACCACAGCCTGCATGTTATCCCAAGAGGACAGCCAGATCATATTTATGAATAATGATAATTTGTTTATCAAAGCTCCTGTATATTTTTTTCAAGAGAGCAACTTAACCCGGATTAATCTAATGATTTCTAGTACGAAAGGATCAGATAATTTTAGAGCTCTTTATGTTCAAATATGGAAATAAACTGGCTTTTGAAACCTGAAAAATCATTCCTGTAAGATATCTTGTATTCATGCAAAATATGTCTTAGTACTACACCAAGAGCTGAGAATAATATCTTCACATTACATATGACCAGAAAGTTATGTCTTAGTATCAACGTGAATCATGTCTGTGAATGAAGTGGTAAGACTATATTTTAGTACTAATATCCTAGGAATGAATCATTGTTTTTTAAGTTATGCTTGACAGTTTAGCTAGTAGATGAGGCTGAAAAATATATCTTATTATACCCAAGGATTATACCATAGCTACTGAGGTCCAAGGATTATACCATAGCTACTGATACCCAAAGATTATACCATAGCTCCTGAGGCCCAAAGATTATACCATAGCTACTGAGGCCCAAGGATTATACCATAGCTCTGAGGTCAGATGATTATACCATAGCTCCTGTGGCCCAAAGATTATACCATAGCTACTGAGGCCCAAGGATTATACCATAGCTACAGAGGTCCACGGGTTGGTGTGTAGCATGTGACACCCTAGGACTTAAGGTAATCAAGTGGGGTCCAACACCTATTATCTTACCTCACATATAAATGTCGCTTTCTGATTGGCTGAGCGCTCTTCTATTATTTTCAATGTACCCCACTTACAAGCGAGTAACATTTCAATGTACCCCGCTGTCAATGGCAACTCATTTGGTACTTCGTGGTAGTAATTCTTTATCTCGAATAAAATTGAATCACGTATGATGTACCGAAATTACTGATGTTTTGCGTATGTAAATTGATGGAAGGGAGCAAAATCAAAATCTTGTCAGCAAAATCTAGTGATGGCTACAAAAAGAGTTGTACCCGTGCTTCAAACAATTCAAAATTGACATTAAGGTGTTCGGTAAGATAAATACGTTGTTCACTGGTCCTTCGGGGCCCATGGGTTGATGGGCTCAAGGAACATAAACAAACATCGAGGGTACATCAACCCATGAAGTGAAATGAGTCTAGCCCAACTATCATGCCTAGTATGTGGAGCCGAAAGATTAATGTTTGGTGAAACCTAAAGTTTATTGGTTAGTGAAGCCCAAGGAATAGAATTTGGAGTGTGATATGTCCAGATTAGCCAAGAATGTGATGCCCTTGATAAGAAAATCCCCAGCCAGATGTCCCGGTTTCTACAAAACACATCCTTAATGCAGTAGAGACCTTGTGTAGCCTGACACTATTGTTCTAGTTCTCAGCACAGTGACACAAGTCTTCAGCTGTGTATAAGGTACATGTAGTTGTTTCTCTGGGGATGTTTAGTCTCTCACATCAGTGATAAATCAGGTACTGACAGTATTGGCACACTGCAATAAGGTGCTTGCCTGAAGGGAGGTAGAACTTACTTATGTTGTTAAACAAATGGAACAAATTGTTAACAGCATGTCAGAGATGATACTTTCAGACTTCCTCAGTTAAGAATCTCTGAGGAAACAGTAGTCCATCATCCTTGGACATTGTGGTGAAACAGAAAATTCTTAGTCTTGCTTCAACATAGATTCACTTACCCTGCACTCTAGAATGTGTCATTATGGATGGGTAAAAGAGATGAGTAATGCCAGATTAGATTTTATGTGATACATTTCAATATTAAGTAATTGTGTTGGGAATACATTTCAATACATGCTGACTGTATTGTGATACATTTCAATACACACTGACTGTATTGTGATACATTTCAATACATTCTGACTGTATTGTGATACATTTCAATACACACTGACTGTATTGTGATACATTTCAATACATTCTGACTGTATTGTGATACATTTCAATACACACTAACTGTATTGTGATACATTTCAATACACACTGACTGTATTGTGATACATTTCAATACACACTGACTGTATTGTGATACATTTCAATACACACTGACTGTATTGTGATACATTTCAATACACACTGACTGTATTGTGATATTGTGATATATTTCAATACACACTGACTACTTAGATACATAAAACTGTATACCTGCATATTGATATTGATTGTATGTATGCATGCATGCATGTATGTACTGGACACATACCTGTGTACAGATATATGTTGTATTCCCCTTTTGACCTTGTTTGTGTTGTATAGTTAACAGGATTAATTAGAAAATATTGACATTACTTTAGCTGCCTATTGCCTGAAGTAACCATAGGTTTGCATGTGACACAGTATGTTATATTGCTACAAGGAGTGAAAACAAACTCACTCACACCATCACACCCTCTCACTCATATCCACCTGCTCACTCACTCACTCCTAGACCCCTGTACACTCACTCACTCATACTCACCTGCCTGCTCACTCACACCTAGCCCCCTGCTCGCTCACTCAGTCACGCACTTACTCCTACTGCCCTGCTCACTCACTTACTCTTACCACCCTGCTCACTCACTTACTCGCTCACTCACTCATACTCACCAAACTCACTACCACTCAAACCCACTTGCTTACTCATACCCACTCAGCTGCTTGATGACTCACTCACTCGCTCACTCACTCACTCATTCCCGGCCATTCACTCTCTCTTACCCACTCACTCATACCCACTTACTCACTCATTCACTCATACCCACCCACCTGCTTGATGACTCACTCACTCACTCTTACTCACTCACTCTTACTCACTCACTCACTTACCCACTCACTCTCCATACCCTTACCCACTCACTCACTCCTACCCACTCTATTCACTCACTCACTCATACCCACCCACCTGCTTGATGACTCACTCACTCTTACTCACTCACTCACTCTTACCCACTCACTCATATCCACTTACTCACTCACTCTTACCCACTCACTCATACCCACTTACTCACTCACTCACTCTTACCCACTCACTCATACCCACTTACTCACTCACTCCTCATACCCACCCACCTGCTTGATGACTCACTCACTCTTACTCACTCACTCACTCATACCCACTCACTCACTCCTTAGTGTAAATCCTGAGGTAGTCATGATAATTCCCTGGTTTGGTCAGAGCTTTATAGATGATATGTATTGTATGAACCTCACTCTTATTGTTTGAACATTCTATTTTGAACTTTTTACTGTTTTTAAGAGCCTGACTTGTTCAGCAAGATGCATTGATGCATGATTTCTCAAAGACATGTTGTGCAACTACTGCTCCACAAATACAATCTGCCATTTGCAGCTGCTTGTAGTCATTAGTGTTATTCATGTATAATTGCTCCCATCAGCGTGGTACTTATGTTAAGTAGGCAGCTGATCTGCTGGTGACATTTAGCTTGTTGAACAAAGACCGCATGGAAACACACTGTGAGGTTCAAGCTCATGTTAATAATGTTGATACCTATTTCCAGGGTTGACATTTTGTAACTGTAAACTTTGTGGAAACACCTTTTTACGTTTTACATTTACCAGTCTGCTGAGCTGGTGTAGAATGAAAACATTTACATTACCTTCTTGATGTCATTTTAGTGCTGCTTGTTGCTGGCTTTATGGATATAAAATGGAAAGCATAAATTGTCTTCAGCTAAATTCCAAAAAGGCACAAATTTGTGAACATGTAGGATAGCTTTGAATATATTGGGAAACTGAGAAGGAATGTTGCAAAAATGTGTAGAAATGTGAGAAAATATCATTTCAAAGGCATCCCAAACCTGTGAAGATCCAGGCTGGAATTGATCTTCAGTAACCCATGCTTGTCGTAAGAGACGACAAATGGGATTGGGTGGTAATCGTATCCAAATTGTGTAGATCAATGCTCATGATGTTGATCACTGAATTGTCTGGTCCAGATTCGTTTATTTACCAACCACCACCATATAGCTGGAATATTGCTAAGTGGGGCATAAAACTAAACTCATTTAGTCAGAACCATCGTCATTTAGCAAGAGTGAGTGAGTGAGCTTAGTTTTACGCCGATCTCTGCAATATTCCAGCTATATGGCGGCGGTCTGTAAATAATCGAATCTGGACCAGACAATCCAGTGATCAACAGCATGAGCATTGATCTGCGCAATTGGGAACCGATGACATGTGTCAACCAAGCCAGCGAGTCTGACCACCTGATCCCATTAGTCGCCTCTTTCATTTAGCAAGAATATTGCCGAGTGCAGCATTAAATAACAAGCTAAACAAAACATAATCAAACATACTAAGATACACAGTGTTACACATAGAAGCATAACACTGATACAGAGTGTCATGTCCAACAGTCAAACATAGACACACAGTGTTACACATAGAAGCACAACACTGATACAGAGTGTCATGTACAACAGTGTACAATGTTACACATAGAAAACATATACAGCTACACAGTCACACTGATACAGAGTGTCATGTACAACAGTCAAACATAGATACACAGTGTTACACATAGAAGCATAACACTGATACAGAGTGTCATGTACAACAGTCAAACATAGATACACAGTGTTACACATAGAAGCATAACACTGATACAGAGTGTCATGTACAACAGTCAAACATAGATACACAGTGTTACACATAGAAGCATAACACTGATACAGAGTGTCATGTACAACAGTCAAACATAGATACACAGTGTTACACATAGAAGCATACTGATACTGATACAGAGTGATCATGTACAACAGTCAAATGGTCAAACATAGATACACAGTGTTACACATGGAAGCATAACACTGAAACAGAGTGTAATGTACAATGGTCAAACATAGCTACACAGTGTTACACATAGAAGCATAACACTGATACAGAGTGTAATGTACAATGGTCAAACATAGATACACAGTGTTACACATAGAAGCATAACACTGATACAGAGTGTCATGTACAATGGTCAAACATAGACACACAGTGTTACACATAGAAGCATAACACTGATACAGAGTGTAATGTACAATGGTCAAACATAGATACACAGTGTTACACATAGAAGCATAACACTGATACAGAGTGTCATGTACAATGGTCAAACATAGATACACAGTGTTACACATAGAAGCATAACACTGATACAGAGTGTCATGTACAATGGTCAAACATAGCTACACAGTGTTACACATAGAAGCATAACACTGATACAGAGTGTAATGTACAATGGTCAAACATAGCTACACAGTGTTACACATAGAAGCATAACACTGATACAGAGTGTAATGTACAATGGTCAAACATAGACACACAGTGTTACACATAGAAGACACACAGTGTTACACATAGAAGCATAACACTGATACAGAGTGTAATGTACAATGGTCAAACATAGATACACAGTGTTACACATAGAAGCATAACACTGAAACAGAGTGTAATGTACAATGGTCAAACATAGCTACACAGTGCTACAAACTGAAGTCTTGACATGTTATATGACAGATTATATAACTCAAAGTAAATATAGTTAAAATTAGCATCCTGGTACACAGACCGGAACTTGGTGCCATTAGTCCTTATAATTGCACACGTATCTGTACATTATTGTGTTAAAAGGTCATTGTAATAGCACTAGAGAATTATTTGTTCTCCATTTGGACTCCGTTGCTCACACTGAGGTTCAAGAAATATGTACGGAAAACTTGTGGTAGCCACAGTTTGGAATGGAGTTAAAACTGCCTGCAGTTATTGTTGTGACTGTGGACTGTGGTCAGTAATGCATGTTTTAGAAAACAGTGGTCAGAAATTATTTCTTTGCAGATTGATATTATTAATGTCACAAGCCATGACCAGTGTTTGTGTGGCTTGTAGTTCACAGGTGTCATAGTGTTGTTACTCTTATCTTGGTGTACATTGTGTTGTGATGAGCCGTACATTAGCCTTCAGTATGTTTTAATGGCCTCTATAACAGTCAGTGGTATTTTGTAATAGCCTCAACAGTAGTCCATGGTGTTGTTATGACCTCTGAAACAGTCTACTGCTTTGTAATGGCCTCTAAAACAGTGTACTGTTTAGTATGGCCTCTAAAACAGTCTACTGCTTTGTAATGGCCTCTAAAACAGTGTACTGCTTTGTAATGGCCTCTAAAACAGTGTCAGTCAGTCTAAAACAGTGTACTGCTTTGTAATGGCCTCTAAAACAGTGTACTGCTTTGTAATGGCCTCTAAAAAACAGTGTACTCTAAAACAGTGTACTGCTTTTTGTAATGTAATGGCCTCTAAAACAGTCTACTGCTTTGTAATGGCCTCTAAAACAGTGTACTGCTTTGTAATGGCCTCTAAAACAGTGTACTGCTTTGTAATGGCCTCTAAAACAGTCTACTGCTTTGTAATGGCCTCTAAAACAGTCTACTGCTTTGTAATGGCCTCTAAAACAGTCTACTGCTTTGTAATGACCTCTAAAACAGTGTACTGCTTTGTATGGCCTCTAAAACCTCTAACACAGTCTACTGCTTTGTAATGGCCTCTAAACACAGGCCACACTGCTTTGTAATGGCCTCTAACACAGTAATGGCCTCTAAAACAGTCTACTGCTTTGTAATGGCCTCTAAAACAGTCTACTGCTTTGTAATGGCCTCTAAAACAGTCTACTGCTTTGTAATGGCCTCTAACACAGTCTACTGCTTTGTAATGGCCTCTAACACAGTCTACTGCTTTGTAATTGCCTCTAACACAGTCTACTGCTTTGTAATGGCCTCTAAAACAGGTCTAGTGTGTTGTAATTACCTCTACAACAGTGTAGTGTGTTGTAATGGCCTCTACAACAGTCCATTGTTTTGTAATGGCCCCTACAACAGTCTACTATTGTGCAAAGGCCTCTACAACAGTCTACTATTGTGCAATGGCCTTTACAACAGTCCATTGTTTTGTAATGGCCTCTACAACAGTCTTCTATTGTGCAATGGCCTTTACAACAGTCCATTGTGTTGTAATGGCCTTTGCAACAGTCCATTATTTCGTAATGGCCTCTACAACAGTATATTGTGTTGAAGCTTCCTGAACAATAATTTAGTGTTTTGATTGTACCTAAAATAATCTACATTGCTAAAATGGCTTTACAATAGCTCATGCTTTCTTGAACTGACATGTCTTTTCAGCCCTGTCAACAGCCGAGTGTCATCATCTAATGTGAGTCGCCAGAGCACCCAGGATTACTGCAATGATTCCTATGAAGGAACTTACAACAACACAAGTCAAGAAATGCCATCAACAGCTCAGGTTCTGTGGCTCAAGGCCTATGATGGAGTCATCACCCAACTAACTGAGGTTAGTCCAGCTAGTCATCTTGCATGCCCCTGTTCTTATCACAATGTTATGTGGCTAAACTTTTGATGGAGCTTTTATATGATTCCAAGATGTTTCACATGGCATCAGAGGGGAGGGAGGAGATATGAACGGAGCGTGTGGTGGAGCTGTTTGTCATATCATGCTCTTGTAGCCTCAATTACGTGCATGTGCTCACGTGGATTGGGTGGGTTGTGTCTGGGCACATGAGTGCACCCTTGGTGTCCTTTGACATGTCATGCTGATATAGTCTCTGTTATAGAGAACAGAGGCATAGAACAATAGAAACATTAACTAGGCTATTCCACTTTTAGGGATTAAAACAAAATATATGTGATATAGAATTATTTTGATCCATCAAATATGTGATCTATATACAAAAGTAAATCCATAAAGCATTGGTGAAACATGTATGTATTATATGTTGATCTGTATGTTCTAAAACATCGCTACTAAAACTGATGTATCAAAACATGATTTAATTCCACTTATAATGAAAGGCCTCTCTTGTAGAAATCAGGTTAGTGCCTTTGATTGTTTGTTGTAATTAAGTAAATGAAACAATGGAGCATGTATGGCTGACAGATTCCTCTGATTCTTTATCAGTGCCATGTAATTAAGATTTTAGTTGCTTTGAATGTCATCGGACTCTGTCTGGAAGATACTTATACTGCCGTTTAACTAGGTCTTCCTCTGATCCTGTACTATGTGGAGACAATATCCTGCTTGTGGAAAGTGACGTTGAGAAATCAATAAGATCTCAAGTAGTGGCTTCAGCCATTGATGTTGTCTGTTAGCAGGTGGCTAGTTGGACAATCAATTCCATCTGTACACAGCTTCTTGCAAACAATATATTTCTTTACAGAGGAGTATTGATTTCCTGTCATTAGTTACAATGACTTTACAGGTGTTTGTAACAGGCACCTCCCAACTACTTACAGTTGCCCCCTCCCCTTGTTGATGCCTTTCAAGTTCCTTCCCTCCACTTGTGTGAACAAGTTTCTTCCGGTTTGTTGCCATTGTAGTTTCTCCCTGGTTGTTGTGTGAACATAATAGACCTCGCACTGGTGTGAAAGTTACAGTTTGTCTCTGAAGTTCTGGCCTCCCACTTGTGTAATCATTATAGTTCCAACCTCAAACACATTAAAGTTCAGACCTCACACTTGTGTGAACATTAAAGTTCAGATCTCCCACTTGTGTGAACATTAAAGTCCAGAACTCCCACTTGTGTGAACATTAAAGTTCAGAACTTGTGTGAACATTAAAGAACTCCCACTTGTGTGGAGAACTCACACTTGTTGTGTGACATTAAAGTTCAGAACTCACACTTGTGTGGACATTAAAGTTCAGAACTCACACTTGTGTGAACATTAAAGTTCAGAACTCCCACTTGTGTGGACATTGAAGTTCAGACCTCCCAGTTGTGTGAGCATTAAAGTTCAGAACTCACACTTGTGTGGACATTAAAGTTCAGAACTCCCACTTGTGTGAACATTAAAGTTCAGAACTCCCACTTGTGTGGACATTGAAGTTCAGAACTCCCACTTGTGTGAGCATTAAAGTTCAGAACTCCCACTTGTGTGAACATTAAAGTTCAGAACTCTCACGTGTGTGAACATTAAAGTTCAGAACTCACACTTGTGTGAATTGTTTTTCCCCCACTTATTGTTTCTTCCTGTTCAGTAAAGTTTGAAGTTTGTTTCAATTTCCATGGACATTGAAGTGTGGGGATTGACTAACTCAGCAACTGAGGCTGTTCCTTCTGAAACTTAAAACATGAGGTAGTCAAAGGGTAAAAATGAAATCAGGATGCTAGAAGTTGTATGCAGCTAGGTTGTATAATGTTCGTTTCAGCTTTTGCCTATTGTGTACTTTGATTCTGTTATGTTGTCTCTGTACATGAGGTTTGCATTTCCAACATACTGTAAAACATATGAAGCTGAACATTCATTGTAAACATTCATTGCTGGGAACCTGTGTCTAATTATTTGGAATAAAATCTTTATTGTCACTAGTAACTAAAGGCATTAGTTAGTTCAAGAGATTCATTGCTATTGATGTCTGCCCAATTAGTGTAATGTTGGTCTTTACCTTCTTATTCTTTTTTTTTCATTCTTCGACCTCTGCCAAGGAATTGGTTGCTCTGGAATTCTTGTCATATCAGGATTTTGATATAATTTGTCCACACAAACATCACATTGTTGTCCTCCATGCGACAGAGACACATGTCTGCAGAATTTCTGCATGTTTGTTTTTGTCGTGATAACTTTGGTTCAGTCTGCCTGAGTAGTAATATTGGAAAACAGCATACTCAGCCATCTTGAAAAATAGACCCCACAGTCATTTGGAAGAATAGCTTTAGATGTATACAGTATTATACTAGGTATCTGTGATGTGTGAAGTGTATATAATATATCTTCAGACATAATATAAACTGTATGGAGCACTGACTTGGTCTGAACTGTATTGAACATTGACTTGGTCTGAACTGTATGGAGCACTGACTTGATCTGAACTGTATGGAACATTGCCTTGGACTGATCTGTATGGAACACTGACTTGGTCTGAACTGTATGGAACATTGACTTGGTCTGAACTCTGTGAGACATTGACTTGTGACTTACAAAACATAACTCACTCGGGACAGATAGTCTGTCCTTCCTCATGACTCATAAATTATTGTTGATGTAAGCACTCATGCAGGATATTCAATATTATCAGTACAAGACCTGTTGTCAAGAGATAGCCAAGGGGGAAAAATGCTTGTGGTAAAGAAAAAGTAACATTTGTGTTTGTTTTACCTTTAGAAATAGCCTGTGTGGTTTCCAGTTTGTTTAACCAACAACTATAGTTCCAGTTTTGATATTACAAAAACTCACTCGTCTTGCTGTCTTCTTTCAGGTTGGTCAAAGACATTCTTGTAACCCATCAATGTTTGATTAATCCAAATGGTTACTCTTTCATATTGTTGTGACGAGACACCTGTCTCGTCATACCTAATGTACACAATAGGAAATAAAAAACAAGGAAGTCATGATAAGAAATCAATGAATGTCATCATAAAACATGCATAGATAATTGGATATGTCTCCCCAAATAATTAGATGTGACAAATACAGAAAATGTAGCAGAGTACTTCATGTATGGAGAGCTATATATTATTCATAAAGATGAGGATGTAACATTGAATTGATCTACAAATATGTAAGCTGAAGCTTGGATAATATGTGACAAAGTCATCAGGCATGAAAAATAATTAAAACCGGCTGTCGGCCAGCAGCTGGCCAGAAATACACAGTTCAATTTCCTTGTTTGGAGAGCCATACAAAAGTGGTAACGATTTCTCTGCTATCCCAGGTGGGTATCAATAAGATAAAACTCAGTCTCTTGCTCTACTGGATGTATGAATGTTGGATGACTGTTGAAGTTTTATATGCAGATTGAAATGAGTTATCTGTTGAGGACATGTAAACCTTCTGCATCATAATGGATATGTCAGCTGGAGAGGACAAAGCGTCATAATCAATATACCTTGTTGTCACCTGTGTGACCTAGAACACTCAAGGATAGCAATGGTAGAGTGGCGACAGCACATTTGATGACACAGCACTGACAGTACAACATTAGGGAAAAAGGATTTGACAGAACAATTGTCAAAAGTGTTGACAACAGAAAGTTGAGCAACAGTGTTGACAACAGAACCCTGAGCAACAGTGTTGACAACAGAACCCTGAGCAACAGTGTTGACAACAGAACCCTGAGCAACAGTGAGCAGAACAAAAAGATCACAATGGTTTTTGACAGCAGGAAAATGGGATACCGTTAACAAAGACAAGACAGTGTTAACATCACAACAGTGGACAACAGTTTTGACATCACATCAGTGGACAACTGTGTTCTGAACACACAACAGTGTTGACATCACAACAGTGGACAACAGTGTTAACATCACATCAGTGGACAACAGTGTTGACATCACAACAGTGGACAACAGTGTTGACATCACAACAGTGGACAACAGTGTTGACATCACAACAGTGGACAACAGTGTTAACATCAAAACAGTGGACAAATGTGTTGACATCACAACAGTGGACAATAGTGTTGACATCACAACAGTGGACAATAGTGTTGACATCACAACAGTGGACAACTGTGTTGACATCACAACAGTGTTGACATCACAACAGTGGACAACACGTTTGATGTAGCCGCATTGGAAAACAGTTGACATGACAAGATGGTGATGACATCACAAGAAGTTGATACACATAGCAATGTGGTATAGAGGGGAGAATACATGCATAGTCGTTTTTGTTTTCTGAAGAACCATGGGAATAACACAGCAATATCTAGGGAGATATTCACAGCATATTCTTGGAACTCCAGAAAATCAAACACAGATTAATGTGTTTACTACTTTTGGAAACAATACAACAGAACTTTGGTGTCATCATTAGTTTTATGTGAAATTAATATTGTGTGTATTTGGAATAAGCATATAGGATGTGTGATGAAGGATCTAGTGAGGTGCTGAGTTAGTAAAATTACTTGAGATGTCCCAAACATCAGCAGTTTGCCATCTTAAACCTGCAATTGCCTCAAGCTACTATATGTAAGGCAAGACCAACCCGAAACACACTTGATGTTTAAGAATTTATCATCAATTATATGAACAATTTACAGCTTTTCAAAACATGAATCTATTCAAAATTGACTGATGAAAGCTTCTGTCATATACAGTATATAAAATGGACTCTGTTGCCTGATTAATCTAGTGTCAGTTAATCTAGTATAATCTCTCGGAAGTGAGTTCCTTTGGAGATGGGCAGACTTTATCTCAATGTTTTTCATTGTTAAACAAGTTTGGCATGTTTTTTGTGAACACAGATAGGTGTCAACAACACTATGTTTATCAGGGAAAGAATCGTGTAGTGTTGCACAGAGGCCAGCAACCGAGACACCTGCCATAGTCTGTGTGA